GTGTTATCTCTTTAAGGTGGGATGTTGCATCGTCTGCCGAGTCTTTTGCCTTCATAGTGAGTGATTTTCGTGTCCAAGTTCTGTACTAGTCCCTCTAGGTGTAAGGAAATACGCCCAATGTTTTCACCCTTCCTGGGGATCGAACCACGGACAGTGTGTGTATGTGATGCGAGAGCATTGCCTTCCAGGCCACGGGACACTCTTCAAGCCAGTCGTTCTCTCTAGGCTGGAATATTGCTGTGTACTAAATTCAGGCAAAACTGCAGAACCGGAAAATATAGAGAACCTTCACAGGCAATATAAACTCATCTCCTAAATTACTAGGAGTGTTTGAAGACCCTCGAATTATATTCTTTAGAACATGACTAGAAAGATATATCATAATCTACACCTGGAAGATTCTGGAGAGACTGGTCGCAAATCTACACACCGAAATCACTACATATGAACATAAGGAGCTTGGTAGATAGTGCAAGAGATGAGTACACAGACAAAACTCAATAAATGTAAAGGAACCACGATTCTAAAACGTTCCCTTCATGCCTAAGAGATATCACCAACAAACACTTAGCTGTCTTCAAGACTGACTCGACAAAGTTCTCAACTCACAACCTGGTCAGCCGAGCTATGATGTATACGACAGACTGCAGATAGCTGGAACTATCAACCTGATCAATCAGGTAATTAACCAAAGACCTGGTCTGGGACCGGGCCAAGGAGGCAGTGACCAGAAGAGTCTACAGGTGGTTATCTGTAGGTCCCATTGTGTACCTCTGTAATCTTTTGACTACCACCCACAGGATGGGTATGGGGTACATAGTAAACATATTAAACTAACTCTGTAGGTTACCTACAGGTAACTTGCAAGTTATTTACAATTATCGCAGGATGAAGTATTAGCCAGACATAGGTCCCGGGTGTGACCTCCTTTTTCTCCTACAGCGTTCGTGACCCAATTTGTTGCATTTCATGTTCCTATGTGGAACTGGGTAACTAGCGGTTCTAGTTTCAACTCCCTTATACATTAACCGCACATGTATGACACCCTGTGGTGGAAATTAGCTAAGGTTGACTTAGGGCGGTCCAGTCCCCGGACCCATTATGTGTGACTAATTTTGTTTATTTCCGCCCGCAAGATGGGCATGCGGTGCATAAAGATATTAAATTAACCATATCACCCCATTCAATGTAGTCCTGCTTGATATAGGTGTGACTTATTAGGTACTGGTTTTATAAAAAAAAAAAAAGGACTGTCCCGTCATCTGCCTTACATGTGTTGTCATGTATTTCAACCATCACCCGAACCGCAGCCACATCACCCACTGCCTCCTGAATTTCCTGACACAAAAAAAAAAAAACGAGATATAATTTTGACGAAGAGGTACGCGAGTCCACAAACAAGATAAAGCGTACATGGTTTAGAATGTCATTAGTCGCGTCCTGAGTGTTGTTGTGTGATGTCCCAGTTGGTCGTTCATCCTCAATTTCCCGTCGTTTTTCCCAGTAAATAAACATGCCGGCTATCTGCCCTCCCTCCTCAACCTCATGCGGTCGTTTGTTTGCCTCCATCTCCAATCGATAAAAGAAGTTTGTGAGAACGCAGCAGAAACAAGCTTCTCCGGCCAGAGGGAGGCTCCAGCACGCTGCTAGGTGTCCCACCTTTACACACATTAGTCAGTAGGTTCTGTTGCCTCGGATGATACACAGTGCAGAGTTCCTACCACTAAACAATAGTTTCCATCTCCAGTCATAACACTGCAGACAACATTACAACATTTGTACATTGTTTTGTGTTAGAGTTTTTTCCCACTTATTCTTTAAAATAATGTTTATTTTTTAAATTGGTATTATTTAAGTCGATAAAAAAACGTCGACCTTCTCAAATAAAAATCGGGTATAGCTTTTTGGGCACACCCATCAGCTCTAATTTTAAAACAAAAACTTACGTATAGGGGGGTAAAAAATTTTTTTCATTAGAAAAACAGAATAGTTTAAAATATATAAAAAATAAATATTTTTTCTCTCTTCCTCTCTCTCTTCTTTTCTCCTCTCCCCTCTTCTCTCCCCTCTCTCCCCCTTCTTTTCCCTCTCTCTCTTTTCTCTATTTATATTTTATATATAAATATATATATATAAACGTATATATAAAATATATATATATATATATATATTTATATATATATATATATATTTTAAATATTTATAAAAACCGTATAAAATTTATATATAAATTTTATATATAATTTTATATATATATATTATATAATATATATATTAATAAAAAACGATATATATATATATAAATATATATATATTATTAATTTTAAAATATAAAATATATATACATATATGCCCGTCCCGGAATATTTTAAAAACCGGGGTAAATTTAGCAAAAAATTTCTTTTAAAATTAAGCCCTTTTTAAAAAATTTTCCCTCTTTACTTTTTAAAAGATTTTTTTTTTTCCTTAAGGGTTGATTTTAAAATTTTAAAATTTTGCCCCAAAAAGGGAAACTTAGAAAACTCCCCTTAACCCCTTATTATAACAAGTCCCAATTTTATTTTAGCCAAACCCCAAACCCAAATATTTTGGGTTTTTGTTTACAGTAATTTAATAGTAAAAAAACACAGGAAATTTTAATTTTTTTCGTTGGGTTTTCAGAATGTTTTTTCCCCGAAATTATTGCATACACAAATTTTCACTTGTCCTATATGGGGAAGATGAGGGGGGTTTTCCCATTTTTAAACCAAGATCGCAAGGGTTTTGCCTATTCGGGACGATATTTTAAAAATTTTTAAAAAATATATATATGATATTTTATAAATATTAAAATATTATAATATATATATAAAAAATTTTATATATATATATATATATATTTATAGTGGTTTTGTGTGTGTGGTTTTGTGTTGTGGTTTGTGTGGGTATATATATATAATATATATATATATATAAAATATATATATAAAAAATAATATAATATATATATTTTATATATATATAAAAAAAAAATATATATGGGGGGCCTGGTGGTTAACGCTCTCGCTTCGACGGTTTTGGGGTCCCCATCCTGGGGCACTGACCTAAATTTTCCCGAAAAAGCGGGCATAACAAAGGGGCTTTATATATGGGTTGTTAAAGTCATTGTTGTCAGCTAGGGCTGTTTTACCTTGTACATGTAACTTTTAGTAAATAAAAAATATTATTTTTTAAATTAAAAAATCAAAAAGAGTTTGGGGGCTCGGGGGGGGGGTTGGGGTTTAAAATCGCTTAGCTTCGGGGGGGGAAAAACGGGCCCATATTATCTTGGGGCTAGCCCCTGGGGAAAATACTGTGGACTCTGATACAGAGTTAAACAGGTTCGAAATTTCCCGCTGTGGGTGTAAAGACAATTTTTTGTAAAAAAATTTCGCCCGTTTGCGACTTTTTAAAACATTTCACCCTCTCTCTTATATATTTCATAACATGTTTTCCTTTTATGGAATTAGTCATGTTTGTAGTATAGCCTACACTTATCCTTATTGAAAGAAGCCTACTATCTATTGATCTATCAATTTTGGTTTTACAGACATGTGAGCACCATTTTTTCGGGGGGGGTTGGAAACATTATTTAGTTTTGCCAATAACTGGATAGGTAAGAGTTTTGGACAGTCGTGAACTTGTTACACGTGGTAGGGCACACAATATCATGTTTGTGTTTTTCAGATCACATTTCTCTCATTTTAAAAATTAACACTATTTTCTGGGGAATTTTATTGGGCTCCCCAAATTTCTTTACAAATAAAAAAAAAATTTACATTTTTCCGCTTTTTAAAAGAGATAGGTCCCTTTCACAGGGAAAATTTGGGCCCAAGCTTAAAAATGTGCTTTTTTATTTATTTTTTTTCAGAGATAACTTAGCGACAAATGTTTGTTTTGGAATGTGAGACAAAAAACATCCTTGGGGGGGAACCCGGATCAGACTCGACCCCCGTAACCACAAGTAAAGTGAGTACAAAGGGCAGGGAGGTACAAATTTAAAACACGGGGTAACCAAACTTAGTTTTGTTTTTAAAGTACACAAGGCGTTTCCCCCCTTTTCCAACACAATTTAAAAATTATAACCATAGTGTTTTAAATTTGGGAAAACTGCTTCAATTTTATGGAGAAAAAATTGCTTGTGCAATAACAATAGCTTTTTGCCTCAGCTACAGTTGGGGGAAAAGACCCCTTTGAAAAGAAAATTTAAGGCTACTGGGAAAACCTAATGTTGTAACATCCCTCGTTGTCAAGCAGTAACTTGTTCCTCCACCTGATCTAGGTCACATGACCAAAGCTTTATCTAATAACTGGAAATTATCAGTGCCGAAGAGTGACGCAATACTCACATACTCTTCTGTCTTATCTCCTTGTGCGTTTATATTCACCGGGTTGTGTTTCTGGGGGTTGAGTCTCAGTTCCTGCGCCACAAACCAGAGTTGATTACACAAGTGTGTGCAGAGTCGTAGAAGAGACAATAATAAGACTGTTAGCCGTTCACTGAAGATATTATTTTGCTTCTAGGCAAGGACTAAATTTTTATACCCAGAATATATTTTGTCTGTAAATTAACCCAGGACGGTGTGGCTTGTTTGTGAATATATGTTTTATAAATTATGGCTCCAGGATAATTCGTTTGTGTCTATACAAGTCCTCACGAAAAAAAATATAAAACGCGTATCTAAACTGCCACAACGAAAAAATAACAACAAACCAGTGAGGGGTTCCCTGCATAGCGGCAAGTTTTTCCGAAGATGTTTGTTTATGTCAACTCACGAAAGCGCTCAGGTGTTTGTTATTAACAGAAACACCTGAGCGCTTTCTTTTTTTTTCATTAGGATATTTTTCATACATATTTATATATAAGCTACGGACACGCAATATTTTCTTGTTGTGCATACTGCTACATGTATTCTATTATTCATGTTCTTTGCTCTAATGTTCACATATCACATCAACGCTGGATTTTCTTATAGCTAAGCCTTTACAACACTAAATGTTACTTCACACTAGTTTGAGTTAGCTTTATTATGCACTCTATACTCTTCCTTGTTTTGTTTGAGTATGACGTGTTATTGAGGCGATCGACTTCGCACCCATTCCTTGTGGTGGCGTTCATCAGGATGGCAGGATGTGTTCAGTGTCTGTGGAAAGCAGTGTCTTGTGGGCACTGATGGTGGAGGGTGGCAGGTCATCCTCCAAGTAGTGATGGAGGGCAGGGGGCAGTGGCAGTGTGTAGAGGAGCTGTGGCTGTGGCAGGGCAGCCAGGAGGGCGTGGCGGGCACGGTCCTGAAGACCTGCCCACCCGCGCTTGGTAGCACCCAGTGTGAGTTTAGTCTTGGCAGCGGTGGAGGCGATCACAGGGTAGAGTGGCTCGGTGACGGTGTTGAGGCCAGTAAAGGCTACACCCAACCACTGAGCATCCTTGTAGAAGCCCAGAGTGCCTCGCTCACCGTCAAATAAGACACCGATGGTGGTGGCACGGTTCTCCTGGAACGGTTTAGTGTAGTGACGCCCTTGCCCTTTGTGCCATATCAACCCCTTGTGGGAAAGTCCCCAACCAAACTGGTCCTCCCCCACCAAGCTGACAAAACTGTCAGCGTGCAGTCTTGCAGACTCCGTGCACACCCCAAACATCACTGCTGTACCAAAGAGTCGCTGAGAAACCTGCACTTCCCAGTAGTGAAGTCCCCCATTAATTTCTTGAGAGCCCCTCACTGCCGCAGTACCATGTGACCAGTTGGGATGGAAAAGTGCGGTACGAGCATACAAGAGGACTTCTGGGCTCTTGTGAGAGTGACTCCAGTGCCACCAGGCGTCACAACCGTGTTCTAGCGGGCGGGGAGACTCTCGTATAGAGTCACTTGGCAGTGCTTGAGGTAGTATGTCATGGTCACCCTGTGTCATGGCAGACACAACCTTCACCGCATCACACCTGTCGACATAAGGCACTACATTATTCTCCAGCATACAGAACCTCATATCAAATAAACTTGGTATTGGTGAATTTTGAATATAATATAATAATAATAAAAGTTTACCTTAAACAGATCGTAATTTCGCTATCTGTTCATAAACTTGACGCTTATTGGCACACAAGGGTTCACCACCAAAGATTAATATAATCCCAAAATTGGTCTACTGTGTGGATACACTCAGTGGCCGCTTATCAGGTACACCTATATACCTGGTATAAACCTTGGTAATAGATACCGACAAATTGGTTTAGAAAGACACGTGAGCCAACACTTGGGCATATTTATTAGTAAACGTTTCGGTCCTGGGACCTTGTGATCAAGATCCCAGGACCGAAACATTTTCTAATAAATATGTCTTAGTGTTCGCTCACGTGTTTTTCTAAACCTATACACCTACTCGTTAATGAAAATATATAATCAACCAATTTCATAGCAGCACCTCACTGCCTAAAAGCATGCAGACATGGTCAAGCAGTTCAGTTTTTCTTCAGACCAAATATCAAAATGGGAAATGCGATCTAAGTGACTTTGACCGTGGAATGACTTGTTGGTGGCAGACGGGGTGGTTTGAGTATAGAACGTAAATTTTCGGTTTATCAAAAAGTTAATAAAATTTAACAAAAATTGGGGGGAAAAACCCAAAAAAGAGA